AAAAAAAAAAAAAACTCACACCGGACGCATGTGTGTGTGTGCCCAAGATCCCAAGAGGAGAATGGAGGAGAAGGGATTGCGGCGTGACCATCCCCCCTGGGGGGTGATTTCTCACTTTCTGTCTCTCTGTCTCTCTCTGTTTGTCTGGTGAGCGTACGTGCCCTATATCGAAAACCTCTCCAAAAATAAATAAATAAATAAAAATAAAAAGTGAAACTATTGTTTTTTCATTTTTTTAGATAATTATTTACTTTATTTATTTATTTAATTTGACCAGAAAGAGACAGAGAGACAGAAAAAGTGAGAAAGCAAGCCACCAAGTCCTGGACTTGAACTGTGGTCAGCCATTTGAGGGTCCAGTGCCTTAACCAGCACGCCACCTACTGGCCCCAAATTTGAAACAATTTTTAAGGGACTGTGAGGCAGATATTCAGCCCCGTATCTTCTGAAAAATATCAGGCAATAGTAGATGAGGAATTTTAAAAGGACCCTAGAGACAGTTTGGAGTTTGAATGAATTGCCCACTTGGGGAAAAAAAAGAAAGAAAAACAATAATCTTCAGAAAAATGACAGAAACCAAAGTCTCTATAATGTTTAAATTTTCAGTGTCCATGGTAAAAGCCAAAGTTACTAGATATAAGAGGAAAAGTGAATTACTCAATGAAGGCATTAATGAAGATCACCCTGATGACATAAAAGTTGGAATTAAGAGACAAGGATTTTAAAACAGCTATATCTAAACTCATGAACATAAAGAGAAACAAATGTCTGTAATAAATGTACAAACAGAAAAAGCTCAGTAGAGAAACAGGAACTAACAAAAGAACTAAAAGGAAATTCTAGAATTTAAAAATATCTGAAATTGAAAAATTCACTAGAGGGGCTTAAAAAATATTGAAGGGGGGCCAGCAGGTGGCATAGTGGTTAAGATGCTAGACTCCCACATAGCCAACCACAGTTCAAGTCCTGGACCTGGTTGTTTGCTTTCTTTCTCTTTGTCTCTCTCTGGTGAGCACATGTGTCTTGAAACAAATTTTAAAAATAATAATTAATAAATTAATAACTAATTATCCAAAAATTATGGAAAGGGGCAAGTATAGAAATAGTGACCTTGAAAGATAAATTATTAATAATTATTTAATCTGAAAAAAAATGTTTTAAGAGAACAGATCCTCAGTTACCCAGGGCACAGCATCAGAGGATCTAACATAGGTGTAAATGAAGACCCAAAGGAAGAAGAGAAAGAACAAAGAAATGTGAAAAAATAACAGCTAAAAAATTTCCCTAATTTGGTGAGATATAAACTTAGTTTAAAGAAGATAAATAAACTATAAGCAGGATAAAGGGGTCCTCCAAAGAACAGAAAGTCTGGGTAGCGATGCAGCCTCAAGGCTTATAAGGATTCATGTTAGTTTCCCTAAAGGTAAGTGTCTGATGGCCTTTTCATGGGTGGTTCACTTAGCATAATTTTAAAACAAGATACAGTTTTCAAAAGTGCTATCCTTGGGACCAGGGGATGGCGTAATGGTTACTTTGCTGGACTCTCTTCATGGCTCAAGTCCCAGACCTGGTGGCTTAAAATACATGCCAGGCATGTGTGAATACGTGCCCAAGATCCCAAGAACTGGAGGAGAAGGGGCTGCAGCATAGCCATTCCTCCTGGGGGGTGACTTCTCACTTTCTGTGTCTTTCTGGCAAGCACACGCTATGAATATAGCAAAAATCTCTCCAAAAAAAAAAAGGTGCTATTCTTGGGCCAGCTGGTGGCACAGCAGTAACGTAATACTTTGCAATACTGGATCCATGTAGGACGGTCTCAGGTTCGTGTACCAAGGCCTCTTGGTACATACACACCAGACTCACAGATGTGCCTATGATTCAAGCTGGCTAAAGTTGGAGGTGGACTGTGGTACAAAGACCTTATTGGAAGTGCCTTTTTTTTCTCTCTCTTAAGAGATAAACTTTAGGGAACCAGCAGTTAGCGTAATGGCTATGTCGCTGGACTCCCACCTAGTCGACTGCGGTTCGCATCCCAGACCCGGGGCTTAAAACTCACGCCGGGCGCGTGTGCGTGCATGCCCAAGATCCTGAGAGGAGAATGGAGAAGGGATTGCGGCATGACCATCCCCCCTGGGGGGTGATTTCTCGCTTTCTGTCTCTATGTCTCTCTCTGTCTGGCGAGCGCACATGCCCTATAGTGAAAACCTCTCCAAAAAAAAAAGAGATAAACTTTAAAAATTATTTTTTTAAAGTAAATTATGGGGCTAGCCAGGTGGCACGATGTTTAAGGCAGCTGGGTCTCATAAGGACAACTGCATGATTTGAGTCCCAGACCTGTTGGCTTGAAAAATATGTTGGGTATATGTGCCTGTGTACCCAAAATCCCAAGTGAAGAAAGGAGGAAAAAAGGTTGAGACATGGCCACCCCGCTCTAGGGGTAATCTCTCACTTTCCCTCCTTCTTCTGTCTCTGGAAAGAACACATCACCTATAGTAAAACTTAAGGAAAAAAAGTGCTATTAGTATGAATTTAGTCATCTAGCTATGCTCTTGGTGAGCTGTTACTGCCTAGTGGTGATAATACTGCTGTAGGACGGAGAGAAGGAAATACAGGAGTTGGTGGAGATTCACAATATGTCCCATGTTTCCAATTGCCTGAATGGTATACTCATGAATATTTCATGATCAAATTTACTGACTCTAAATCTTTGATTTTTATTGATCCCTAAATATTCTGTTTCCCAGATTCCATTCTGACCTACACACAATAAAAAGGTTTTCTTAATAAAGATGAAAAGAGTCCTTAAAAAGTAGATTCTGGGGAACCAACAGTTAGCGTAATGGCTATGTCGCTGGACTCCCACGTAGTCGACTGCGGTTCGCGTCCTGGACCCGGTGGCTTAGAACTCACGCTAGGTGTGTGTGCGTGCGTGCCCAAGATCCCGAGAGGAGAATGGAGGAGAAGGGATTGCGGTGTGACCATCCCCTCTGGGGGGTGATTTCTCGCTTTCTGTCTCTATGTCTCTCTCTGTCTGTCTGGCGAGAGCGCACGCCCTATAGAGAAAACCTCTCAAAAAATAAATAAATAAATAAATAAATAGATTCTGCAGGGAGAAAAAATTGCCTCACCCAGTAATACCAGGCTCCGATAATTCTCTAACATCATACTCCTGTATAAACTCTTCTGAGCAGGGTTCAGCAATTCCCATTCCTCCTGGGAAAAGTCTATCGCCACGTCCTTGAATGTCACCAAGTCCTGAAATGACACAAACCAACCAACACTTATATCCACACTTGACTACAAGTTAAAGTGTGAAGTTTTCTTTATGTGAGAAATAGCCTATAAAGAGAAAACACTTAAAACTTACAATATTAAGCACTAACCCAAAACAAGACTGAAATGTTAAACTGCTTGTATACAATGGTGCTAATCCATTCTCAACATGCAGAAATATGAGTAAACAAGGCAGTAAAAAAGAGCTTCAAGGAATAACATATACCTGTATCTGAATCTTCAAAAACATAACAAAAAGGAATATCTAAAGTTGATTTCTCAAATGGTACACTATGAAACCGTTTTTCGGTTTTTTGGAGAAGGTGGGCTTGAAATGACATGGCTGATTTTTTCTTAAATGATAAAATAAATACATATAGACAACAATTTTCTTATACTATGCAATATTGGAGTGAGCAGAGAAGCAACGTAAGAGACCACTCACTCAGTGTAAGAGTGCCACATATAGAGACCACCAGTGGCGTGATGGTAAAGGCACCTGGACTCTTACATAGCCAACTGTCGTTCAAGTCCCAGACTCAGCAACTTGAAAATCATGCCAGGCATGTGTGGGTGCATGCCCAAAATCCTGAGAGAAGAATAAAGGAGAGAGGACTGTATCACGTCCATTCCCCCTGAGACTTCTTAATTTCCTTCTCACCTGTCTCTGTGCATACATATACCCTATGGAAAAAAAAAAAAAACCACAAATCTAACTTATATGTTGAGTAAAAGTCAATTATACTTACATTACACTAAAATAAAATTCAATAATTTCAACATTTAGTTTCTTAACTATTTACATGTCCTAAGAAAAAAACATGTCATTACAATCTTTAGTAGGGTATAAGAAACAGAAAAGTATAGTAATAGCCAGGCAGTGGTGCAGTAGTAGTACAGCTGGTTCATACCCTGACACCTCCCTGACCATGCCTCACAAGTGTACCCATGATCTGGGCGAGCTGAAATTGGGGTACATCGCTGAGTGAAGATCCTGGTGAGGGTACCTCTCTCAGAAGAAATAAACTTTAATTTAGAAAAAGAACTGAAAAGCCAATTCTAAAAAGTAGTATGGGAAGGGCGAGCAGTTGGCAGAGTGGTTAAGGGTGCTGGACTCCCACGAACCATGGGTGACCACGGTTTGAGTCCTTGACCTGGTGGCTTGCTTTCTCACCTTCTTCTCTCTGTCCCTCTCTGGTCAAATAAAATAAATAAACAAAGCTAAATAAAATGTCTTAAAATTATTTTAAAAAAACAGTATTATGACCATTTCTCATATTCAAGTTTATTTCCTTAGAAAATAGAAATCTTAGGCCAGGAGGTGGTGTGGTGGTTAAGGTGATGGATTCCCACATGGCCAACCATAGTTTGAGTCCTGGAACTGTTGGCTTGATTTCTCACTTTCCCTCTCTCTCCTTCTCTGTTTCTCTCTGGTGAGTACATATATCCTATAATAAATTAAAAATAAGTAAAATTTTAAGTTAAAAAAATTATAAAAATAAACACAATAAAAATAAAAACCTTAGTCTTGGTGCCTAATTTGCAAAGTTACCAAAAATACTAATTACTATATAAAGATAAAGCTGTGCACACATGTGAATTTACTTTTTTTTAAGAATTATATTAACTTTTTAAATTATTATTATTTTAATATTTCAAGAGAGACACAGAGAGAGAAAGAGAGAGAGAAAGAGAGAGAGAGAGAGAAGGAAAGCGTTCAAAGCAAGCCTCCAGGTCTGGGACTTGAACCACAGATGTGGGAGTCCAGCGCCCTTAGCCACCATGCCACCTGCTGACCCCTTAATTTACTTTTAAACAGTTATCTTTAGAAAAATGGCATGATATAAAGATATTTAATCTATGGGACTCTAGGAGATGTAGAAACCTTTAGGAAAATGTTTATTACAACTTTCATATAAAGGTATTACAATTTGTTTTTTCCAGAGGGCACATGCACTCAACCAGAGAGAGACAGAGAAAGGAGAATGCATCTCCCAATGGGATGTGGTCAGGCTACAACCCCTTCTCTTCCATTCCTCTATCCTGTCAAGGATTTTTGACGCACATGCACACACTCTGGGCATTTTAAAATTTTTTTGCTAGAGGCAACACACACTCACTAGAGAGAGACAGTGAGATAGGGAGAGGAAAGAGTACCCTAGATTGGGGAATGGTCATACCACTCTCCTCCATCTATCCTTTCTTGGGAGATTTTGGGCCTGTGTGCACACATTCCCAGCATGTTTGTCAAGTTGCTGGGCATGGAACTTGAACTGTGAGGTTTGGCCACGTGGGATCTGGATCTGGCTCTTTAACCACTAGGCCATGGGCTGGCCCCCTTGGTCTATATTTTGAAGCTAGGATTCTTTTTGTTTTTGTTTTGCTATAGGGTGGGTATGCTTGTGAGAAAGAGAGATAGATAGAAAGCGAGAAATCACCCTCGAGGGAGGATGGCCGCTGCAGTCCCTTCTCCATTCTCCTCTTGGGACCTTGGGCACACGTGCACACGTGCCTGGCGTGAGTTTAAGCCACAGGGTCCAGGACTCGAACCACGGTCGACTACATGGGAGTTCAGCAACATAGCCATTACACTAACTGCTGGTCCCTTGTAAGCTAAATTTAATGTAAAAATCAAATTAATTTTGAGCCATCACAGAAAAGCAAAAAATCTGGCACCAGCAAATGACGTAGCAATCACATTGCTGGACTCCCACATGGCCGACCACAGTGCAAGTCCTGGACCCAGTGGCTTGAAAAATCACACCAGGTACACGTGTATACATGCCAAAGATCCCAGGAGGAGAATGGAAAAGGGACTGTAGTATGGCCATCTACCCTGGGGGATGATTTCTCACTTTCCCACCCCTGCCTGTAAGCACATGTGTTCTAAGGCAAAAACCTCTTAAAAAAAAAAAAAAAAGAAAGAAAGAAAGAAAAAAGAAACCCACAAAAATCAAGTGTAAACCATAAACTTAATTGTGAAGAGTAAAACAAATCTTTAATGGGGCCAGCAGGTGGCATGTTGGTTAAGGGCACTGGACTCGTGCATGGCTGACCCACAGTTCAAGTCCTGGACCTGGTGGCTTGCTTTCTCACGTTCCCTCTCTCTTGCTCTCTTTCACTCTGTCCCTCTCTGGTCAAATTAAGATAAATAAGTAAATAAATAAATAATTCTTTTTAAAGAAAGGGTAAAACAAATCTTTTAAAAGAAAAATAAGATCTAGGAGTTGGCAAAAACTTTTTTTTTTGGGGGGGGTGGGGGTTTGCTATAGGACACATGCACTTGCCAGAAAGACAGAGAGACAGAAAGCGAGAAATCACCCCCCAAGGGGAATGGCCACGCTGCAATCCCTTCTCCTCCATTCTCCTCTCGGGATCTTGGACACAAGTGCATGCATGCCTGGCATGAGTTTAAGCCACTGGGTGAAGGACTTGAACCACAGTCGACCACATGGGAGTCCAATAACATAGCCATTACACCAACTGCTGGTCCTGGCAAAGACTTTTTAAACAGGACACAAAACATACTCACTTTGAAGCGATAAAAAGGTATTTATGAATACACGTGAAGGCATAATATGGCCCTGAATGAGACATAAGCTAAAATTCAGTACATAAAAAAAAAAAACTTTTAAGAATTTATTTAAGGATGTGATAAGACAAAAATTCAGCTAGAGAGATAATTCCTGATGTATTCTAAGCACAGGAAAGAGGTACTAGATGCACTTTAACTTGGAACCCAACTCACTGATAGCAAGATAGCTCTATTTCACGTAACATACGTACACCAAATCTTCATGAAGGTAACACTGAATTTAAAATGTACATGAAGTGGGAAGAGAGGAGGCTCAAATGGGGTTCTATGCCTTTAACACCCACCCATTAAATAGAGAATTAAGGACCAGTTCTCTGAGAGGCGTGGGAACCAAGTCCTTGGACAAGACTGTCAATCTGGGGATTTTCCTAAAGAAAAGAAGCCAGTACTACGGCTAAAACTGTAAGACTGCCTTTCATGGAAAAGAGAGGAAAGAACTAACCTGGGGTATGGCTTTCACTAGTTCAACAGTCATTTTTGCCTCCTGGTTTCTCTTGTGGAGAACAGCGGTATCCTGAGAGGGTAAGGCTGGAGGAAGAGAAAGGACAGTGAGAGATAAGGCCTTTGCTGCACTCCCACAATCACTAGCCTGAAAATGGTCTTCTTCCTCCCAGCTTTCTTTGGCTTTGCACCCATATAACTGGGCGAATATTAGCAAACTTACAGCCATTCAAGGGGGATATCGTTTGTCATTTTCTTATGCTGGAGGTCCTAAATTTAACCTATTTTCCAAAAGCTTTCTTCCCATTCTTCGGTCTATAAATAAAAATGAAAGGAGACATGCTAGGTACTCTGTATAGATGATATTCTCTCATTTTATTTTTGAAATTATCCCACAAAACATTTCTTTCTACAGATTAAAGTGAACATATTACCTTCTTGAGTCTTTGCTCCATACTTTGAGTCTTAGTTTGAAAAATCTGAGTCCTAAGTGCCACCAGAGGGCAGGGTTATCCTCTATCCAAACTCCCAGGGTTTCTGCTTTCCTCACTCTGAAGCAATGGAATCTTGACCATTTGATTCTTCAACCTTTACTTTCACCCCTCTCCTGAACCCCTGGTTTTCTCTGTTACTCTGAGTTGAGGGTATTTCCTGCTTTGGTAAGAAACTCAAGTGACCACTGCTCTTCCTTCTTACTGGATCTCTTGGACCGGGCAGGGAATTCTATTCCAGGATTGTTATCCCGGCAACACACGACTTCAAACAGCTACATATGTCAGTCTTCCAAGTAGCCTCCCCATACATACCACGTTCACCCACGGCCACAACTGCAAGCGTGCAGGGTGACACAACCACTAACATACTTGATGACACACGCACACACTCAAAGGCAGGCGCATCAGTCACATACACCTCGAGAGAGGGCATGGTACAAGCAGCACGCTGATCCACACACGCCACAGCTCACGGCCCTCGTGGCCGTCTGGCTCACACACGAGCTCCCGACCTCGGAGCCTGACCGTGTGAGCCCTGCCAGTGACACGCGTGGTTCACGCAGCCGCCTCACCGTGCTGGCCACACCACACCACTAGTCTCTCCGGCTCTCGCGCACACACTCGTGCACAAGTCCCACCTACAACAAGGCAGGACAAAGCCCTTCCCGACCCAAGTAAAAACCCCTCGCCGCAGTTCTTCCTGGGCAACCCATTTCCGGGATCCCTCGAATACACCCCCGCTTGGCTCTCCCTACTCCGTGCCCGCCACGGAGTCTCCCTGAGCGTGGGACCGGAAGCCGGGTGTCCCTGCGAGCGCGGCCCGATCAGCCCGCGCCCGCGACGCCGCGTCGGTGTCTTCAGGGACACCGACTTGTCACACACTCGTCTCGACGCAGGGACGCACAGGTCTGTGCTCTCCAAGTGCGC